CATCTATCTATCTATCTATCTATCTATCTATCTATCTATCTATCTATCTATCTATCTATCTCCACACACCCCCTCTATCTATCTATCTATCTATCTATCTATCTATCTATCTATCTATCTATCCCCACACACCCCCTCTATCTATCTATCTATCTATCTATCTATCTATCTATCCCCACACACCCCATCTATCTATCTATCTATCTATCTATCTATCTATCTATCTATCTATCTATCTATCTATCTCCACACACCCCCTCTATCTATCTATCTATCTATCTATCTATCTATCTCCATTCACCCCCCCCGTCTCTCCATACACAGTTTCTCTGTCTCTCTCTCTCTCTCTCTCTCTCTCTCTCTCTATTTAGCCATCTCTCCTTCTCACTCTCCATCTAAATTCTTTCTGTCCATCCATTCTCTTTCTCTCTCTCCCCCCTATGTCCTGACTGGTTTAGCTGGTTACTTAGGTACATCTCTGGCTTTCAGCACTTGCCTTTTCTGGCTGGATCCAAAGGGGTCACTTGTGGGTCTAATGTCGACCTGGGCTCAGGGGCTGTCTGAAGTGGGGCTTTACCCCTTTTCCTCACATGACCCTTTACCTGTAGTTTCCCTTCTTCCTTCCCCCCTTTCCGAGCCCCACATTCAGCCCTATTCATGGGGACTCAGGACTGGGGGAGGGACTCAAGCATCCGCCTGTCACAATCAGCCAATCAGCAATCCAGGGTTAGGATTAGGGTCCAGACACCACCAGCAGCTGCTGCAAGAAGCCATTTAATGCATGAATGACCCACCGAGAAGGAAACATCACAGTTTCTTCTGCACTTTGCAGGGACCACCCAGGGCACAAGCAAGAAGGGACACGATACGTGGGCTTTCTGCTCCAAGGGATGCTGGCTCTGGTCCAGCCCCAGGGCAGTGGAGTGGAGTGGCTGGCTCGGAGGGATGAGCTCAGACTCAGAGGAAGGTCTGATCCCATTTTTCCAGGAGCAGGTTGCGTAGCAGAAGATCAGGTCATTGTTCCTAGATTTACCGCATGTTGGCCTTGATCCAGGGCAGAAAGTGGGAAATCCGAGTGAACACAACAGGAGGCGTGATGCTGTTCTTGACACCAAAGGAGACGATGCCCTCGGCCACTCCACCGCACACAAGAGGGCCTCCAGAATCGCCCTGCCCCAGAACAAGCAGAGAGAAAAGTTAATTCCTCAGTCATACCTGTGTCTCCCAAGCTGTCTGAGCCAATAAACCCCAAAAATGTGAAAAACTGAATTAACACTGAGAAGCCGAAGATGAAGGGCTCTGGGAATTTAGACCAGAAATGCCCCTGTTGTTATCTAACCCGACCTCCTAGCCAATTCTATGCAAAGAAAGATGAGTAGCCACACTTACACAGTCCCCATTGTCACACAATTGTAATCAATCTTGGCCAAGGCATGGCATGTAAGGTGTCCTTGGAAAAGCTATAAGCTATTATGTGTGATTGTCCTTTTGAAATCCATCTCTGTTTTCATCTCAAAGAAGTTTGGCTCTTGGGTGACATCCACAAGGCATTTCTACATGAAGATCAGCCAGCTGTGTGTGGATGGCCAGTTATGGAAACTCCACTCATCAACGATTAGGGCTGATCAATGGCACCTCTGAGCTTGGCCATTCATAGTGATGTGACCCCTGGGCATGGCCATTTGTAGCTGTCTCACCATTTGCTTGGCCATTTATAGCCCTAACACAATTGGGCATGAGCCCAGAAAGTCATTCCTCGTGCTCTGGCAACTCTTCCATTACAAATTCCTCCGCCTATGGCTGAGACACCCGGGACATGTTAGCCAACAAATCACTTACCTGGTAAGTTGACCTTCGGTAGCGGCGGACCCCTACACACAGCATGGAGATGGGGAAATAGTTAAGGTACCGACTCTTACAATCATCATCAGTCACCACCGACAGGTTCACTTCCCGAAGGGTGTCAGTTGTGGCGGTCAAGCTGGTCATGCCCCATCCAGACACGTTGCACCTGG